AAATGATGTAGAATGACAATGTTTAAAAAAAATAGCTCAATCTTGCTTGAAACATACTTTTCATAGCTGGAAATTGATTAATGTTTTTCTTATAGGAGTGAATAGGAATAAAAGGTTTTTTGCTTACTTTGACTTGCACTGACTACGACTTACTTAACAGAAATTGCACTATATTTTTATTCTTAGTAGTTGGTTGAGTTGGTTTTAAACATATTAATTACAGAGTTATCTTTATTTGTCACATGAAAGTAGCGATGGACAAAATGTATATATAGTCTATAACAAACTGAGACTATGACAAAGAAGTAGATGATAGAATAAAAAAGCAAAATGTATATATAGTCTATAACAAACTGAGTGTATAAAAAACAGAAGTAGATGAAAGAATAAAAAAGCCATCCATGAATAGTTCAGGGATAGCTAAACAATTTAAATCATGGATATTTGCAAAAATTTGAAATCCACTTATCTATCGTCCTTTAAAAAAAATGGGAGGATTAAAAGTTTCAGAGACTATGCTATCGCTTATCTTAAAATTTCACACAAGGTCGAGTCGCTGGAGGAGATCTAGCCAGCGCCAAAAGGACCTCAGTGCTGGAAAGAGGTTAGTGAAAGAAAGGTTTTTAACCCTTTAAATGTAGGGGGGTCCTATAGAAATATGCAGTGGGACACTATAGCGCTAGGAATAGAGTTTTGCATTCCTAATACTATAGAGCCTTCTGGTCCCCACTTCCTTGAGGCTCCCCTTGCAGTACATAAAGAATTAAAAAAACAAACAAACTTTATTTAATTACCCAATTCCAACACCGATGTCCCTGGGAGCTGGGTCGGTGCTCCGCCTTCTCCAATATCATCAAATGGTGTGGACCTGATGTGCATGTGAGCTGCCAGCGTATTCGGCACTCCCCATAGGTAAGCATTGACTCAATGCTTTCCTATAGGGATTTCACTGACGCTGGATGTCCTCCTGCAGAGCGTAGACAGCCATTAGAGGCTGTCTTAGTTTCTCAAAAACTGCAATGTTTACAGTTTTTAATAGGGACATTGCACCTTGACCATGTCAATGAGATGAAGTGGTCAGGTTGCCTATAGTTTCCCTTTTAGCAGGCTGTAGTGATTATGATGCTCGGAGTGTTCTTTTAACTCCATAAGGGGCAAAAATATAGTCTGTCATAACAAAACTGTAACGGCTCCCGGCATGGGAGCACACGTTACAGCACTTGATCGGTGGGGTCATGCTTAAAATCCCAAACACTTACCTCAGGCGTGGCAGATCACCACCGGATCGGCCAGTGCTGCAGCTCCTGTCAAGTCCGACGTTCAACTGGATGCAAGCCGCTGTTCTTCTGCGGAGTTAAGTAACCCCGCTTTTGGGCAGGTGAAAGGTCATGTGAATGTGCGAGCATCGTCATGTCATCTACATGTCATTTTGGAATCACATGACCCTTGTTAGCCAATTAAAGTTTAGGGTTATTTAAACATCATATAACTGGTTTTCATTGCCCTGTCTTGGTTTCCACAAGCTGGGTATCCGAGAGCGTGCTGTTGGAATTTGTCTAATTGTTTTTGACCTTGACCTTTTGGTGTTGTTTATTCGTTTATGCTTCTGTCTGTGTTCCTGACCTCGTGTAGTTACCGACTATTCTCTCTACATTAAATCCGACCATTCTAAGGCCCGGTAATACATTTTTTAATATTCTGTATTGTTTTCTGTGTTTTACTTGATTCTGCTTGTTGGGCCACAGTATGGTCCTGATAAAAGCAGCCTTTAACGATCCTATATGAAAATGGAATGCCCCATTCATTAAATGGATGGAGGGCTGTATAATGATGCAAATGTACATTTACTACAACATTTCACACATGTAAAGGGATTTTAGGCATCAATTTATGCACTATTGTACAGCACTACAATATTTGTTAGTACTTTATAAATAATAATAATGAATGAACACTGTAGAGTTAGGAATACAAACCTGCATACACACCGCTAAAGTGCCCTTGACCCTAGCTCTTTATAGGTCCCCCTATCCCCAGTGGTGTATCCTGGTTTTGTGCTGCCCTAGGCAGGACAAAACTCAGGCACCCCCCTCCTCCCGCACCACCCCCACCCAACCCTTCCCCCCCGCCCCAACTTCTAAATACACACACACACACACAGTCAGACACAAACACACACACAGTCAGACACAAACACACACACAGACAGACACAAACAGTCAGACACACACACAGTCAGACACAAACACACACACAGTCAGACACAAACACACACACAGTCAGACACAAACACACAGTCAGACACACACACACAGTCAGACACACACACACACAGTCAGACACACACACACAGTCAGACACACACACACAGTCAGACACATACAGTCAGACACACAAACACACAGTCAGGCACACACACACACACACAGTCAGACAAACACACACACACAGTCAGACAAACACACACACACACAGTTAGACACACACACACACACAGTCAGACACATACACAGACACAAACACAGTCAGACACAAACACACACACACACACACAGTCAGACACAAACACACACACACACAGTCAGACACACACACACAGTCAGACACAAACACACACACACACAGTCAGACACAAACACACACACACAGTCAGACACAAACACACAGTCAGACACAAACACACACAGTTAGACACACACACACAGTCAGACACACACACACACTCACATCAAAAAAAGTTTTCTTTTTATTTAACCCCCCCCCCCAGCCTCCTTACCTTTGGGAGTGCTGGGAGGGGGGGTTCCTCTTTCTCCCTGGTGGTCCAGTGGTTGCCAGTCGGGCTGGCAGGCGGGCGGCACTGGCGAGGGAGCTCTTCCTCTGAGCTCCCTCGCGCGCCGCAGAGTGAGGTTGGGAGCCGGAAGATGACGTCATATTCCGGCTCCCAGCCTCACTCTGCAGCGCGCGAGGGAGCTGAGCAGTCAGCTCAGAGGAAGAGCTCCCTCGCCAGCCGCCCAGCGCCCGGCATGTCTGTTAGCCGCGAGGCTAACAAGACATTTGCCCTGGGCATTTGGGGGCGGCAAAATGCCTTGTTTGCCTCGCGGCTAATACTCCCCTGCCTATCCCTGTTTATGATTTTAAAATTAAATAAAGGGTTTACTCATCTTTTTCCAGCGCAGCGACCCTCGCTGCTTACCTATCCACCTCCAGCGACGTCATGGAGAAGGCATGGCATCCTCCATGATGGTCCAATCCAATGTTCTTAATAGGGGAGCATTGAGGACCTGATGTTCATGTGTGGCAAGCACCATATGTACTTCTAGGCTTCCCTAGAGGAAAGCACTGAATCAGTGTGTTTCTTTGGTGGCTTCCGTGTCGCGTGCCAGTATGACAGATAATAGAAGAGAATTTAACCCTGCAATGTAAACATTGTGATTGAGATGAAGCGGCCTGAGTGACTTGGTGGTCCATTAAATGGATAAAACAAAGAATGTCATTTATTGCAGGTAACTTGAGCTTTGAGCGAGTTAAAAAAAAAATGAAAAGGGAATAAAAAATACATCATGAATAAGTTTTGCTGAAATGCTATAATGGACACAGATTTTTCAATATCAACAAATGATTTTTTTCTTTAAAACTTCACTCCCTCCAGAAGCTTGTTCCCTAATATCTTCCTTTTTATCTCCAGGGACTATGTATGCTGGAGATGAAAGCAAGAAAAACCAAAGAAGTCGTCCTCGGCGCTCACTCAATTGATTTTTACACAAAATTTGCCTTCACGCATGATGATGGAAAAATGATCCCATCTATTATTAATAATGAAAACAAATGCAGAAAATCAATAACAGCACACTGGGAATCACAAAAAGACTGGTATGGATGTATGGAGCTACCACCAGGTGATATGTATTTATGTTACATGATGGAGAAGACAACTTGTTGCTATTGATGAGCTCTTACCTCTCATGTATTACTAATATAAACAGAGAAATAGAGAAATACATGGGGACAGCTGTTACTTTCCTGATTTGTGAGTAAAACTGTTTTCTAACACATTTATAAACATATTAGGCTTTTAACACTCCTCACAGAGATTTACTAGTGTTCACTAGCGTAATGTGTCCCAACCGATAGCTATTCTACCATTTAAGCCAATGAGAGATAAGCAAACCGAGCAGGTCAGCAAACTAAAGGATACAGAGAGCCCCAAACATTAAACAGCACCTTCATCCAGTGCACACGTACTAAGCACTTTTCCTTATCACTGCATCTACAACTTATCTTATTTACAGTAACAAACATATAAAGTGCTGTTAGTGGGAAAGAGGAAAGTAAGTAATGAAAACTATGCAAATAAAGCAATAGATGAATGGATAGACAGACAGACAGACAATACAGACAGACAATACAGACACAGACAGACAGATAGATAGATAGATAGATAGATAGATAGATGTAGATAAATGACAAATAGAAAGAGCAGTAGACAGGCAAGGACATAAATTTCTCAGCCCATACCTGGTACCATGTTTGTAGGAAACTGAGGAATGGGGGAGGTGAATCCCCCTTCCCAAACCACCACCCTTAAAATCTGGTGTAGCATTTAAGATCATATGTTTCAATGTTGAAAAAAGATGAGAAAAACAAAATATATGTTAAAAGAGTTGGTTATCCCATTCTACTACCAGACCCAGGGTAATAGTATATAAATTTGCCTGTAGTAAATGGCAGATATCTGTATGCTCCCCAAGTTGGGTTAAGAATACTTTAAGCGATCACCCCACTCCAAGATTTTCATTGGTTCATAGGCTGATGCCTGGCTCTCCCCAAATAATACACAACCATAGAATGCCCAAGCTCTTGGTGCATCTCAACTTGACAGGCATGTTAATGGGTATGTACCTTACTACTATTACATACACATATATGTATATACATAAAGAAACACTAGACATTCAGTTCAGGGCACTTGCCAGAATTTTTTTTATATCGCTCTAAATTGGCCTTGCTCCACATTGTAATTAGCTTGGGATTAGTCTTTTAGAAATAAGAACAGTATTGTGTATTCAATTCTTGAGAATAAGAACTGCCCCAGGTTCTCTCAGCTTATTATTGCTGTCTAGACTGAATGGTTTTGCAGACATTATGTTGAAGGCTATGGATGCCAGAGAGACAGGGGTGGAATTTCTGCAGGTGCATTGGTACCGGGGCCTACCAAAGTTTAGGGTCCCACCCTTAGTCTCCTATCAGGTGGGTGAGAGCAGTAAGGGCTCCAGCAGAGGTGAGCCTCAAGTCTGCAGCACAGGAAAAATCCCTCCCCCACAGTCCTCCTGTCTGTCAGATGAGAAGGAAGAGGATTGGGGCTGTTTGTTGAATTTGTACTTTAATTTATCAAGTTTATTTATATGCAAATGTTAAGCATGTGGTTTGTTAGTGAACTGCACAAGGTGTCTCTAAAATGCATCGTGTGTGTCTGCAAACTTGATGAAGGATGTTTGTATACTGCAAGGTGTGTGTCTGTGTACAGCATAAATTGTTTTTGTATACTGCAAGGTGTGTGTCTGTGTACAGCATAAATTGTGTCTATGTACAGCATGGAGTGTATCTGTGTACAGCATGGGCCGTGTCTGTGTACAGCATGGAGTGTGTCTATATACTGCATGGAGTGTGTCTGTGTACAGCATGGGCTGTGTCTGTGTACAGCATGGAGTGTGTCTGTGTACTGCATGGAGTGTGTCTATGTACAGCAGGGGCTGTGTCTGTGTACTGAATGCAGTGTGTCTGTGTACAGCATGGAGTGTGTCTGTGTACTGCATGGAGTGTGTCTGTGTACAGCATGGGCTGTGTCTGTGTACTGCATGGAGTGTCTTTGTGTACTGCATGGAGTGTGTCTGTGTACAGCATGGAGTGTGTCTGTGTACAGCATGGAGTGTGTCTGTGTACCGCATGGGCTGTGTATGTGTACTTCATGGAGTGTGTCTGTGTACAGCATGGAGTGTGTCTGTGTACAGCGTGGGCTGTGTCTGTGTACAGCATGGAGTATATCTATGTACTGCCTGGTTTGTGTCTGTGAATTGCATGGAGTGTTTCTGTGAACTGCGTGGAGTGTATCTATGTACAGCATTCCGTGTGTGTGTGTACTGCATGGGCTGTGTCTGTGAAATGAACGAAGTGTGTCTGTGTACTGCATGGAGTGTTGTATGTGTATTCCATGTGGTGTCTGTAAATTGTATGGCGGTTGTCTGTGTACTGCATAGTATGTCTCTGTTTAATACATGAAAGGTGTCTCTGAAATGGTCTGGGAGCTACATGGTGTGTGTGAATGTGTGTCTAAACCTCATTTTGTGTGTGTCTGTGTCACTGGCAAGTGCCCTTCTGAGCCCCCAATTGGACTTGTTCAGACAGCCAGGAGAGGTCTTGCAGTGAGAGTAGAAATATGTCATTGCCCAACACTTAAAACGACACTGTCAGCTGCAGGTAAGTAAAACTCACCTTACCTGCCCCCTCGACCAAGGGTCCCACAGTGGAGATGTCAGTGTCAGTGAATTTAGCAAAGACACCAGAAAGTGACCTCTTTGGGGGAAAGGAGTGGTTCATCGGCAAGGGAATGTGTCAATCTAAATTTGGAAGGGAGATGATAAGTTGGCAGGCACATGTGGCACATCTAGATTGGGAACAGAGATGTTTCATAAGCAGGCAAATGTTGCAAAATCCAATTTAGGCTAGGAGAAGGGTTAATTGTCAGGTAAATGTGGAAATCTACATTGGGGAGGGAGAGATTGAACTTGCATGGGGTTGTAGGGTCTTGTGACTATAGAGTTGGTTAGTCGGCATTCATAAGTGAGGCAATATAATTGGAAATAAGAGGTTGATTGTCTTGAGCGGTAGGGGGCCCTATTTAAAATGGACCACTACTACTACTAAAGACTACTATTTTTTGCCTTAATGCTTCAAAATATTCATGCAAAAAATCAAGGGACAATAGACGTTTGGTACCATAATCACTGCAATAAGTTATAATGCTTAGAGTGCCCCCTTAAAAGGGGTAAAAAAGCTCATATGAGAATGTCACTTTTTGAGATGAGTAAAATAAATAAAAAATAAAAACCCTGACAAAACCAATAACAACACTGAGTGAAAAAGAAAACGGCGGCCATCTTGTTAGCAGGAAAGGAGGCAGCGGGACTTGGTCTTCGAGTGCCTGGAACTAAAATCGGACACTCGACTTCCCGAACACCTCTGAAACCATACGAATGCCTGCTTCCTTTTGTCGAACCGCTGGGAGAGCGCTGTTCGACAAAAGGAAGTTTTGTTCCCACAAACAAGGGGAACAATCGCTCATATGAGCCAGTAGGCTCCGTTCGTGCTTTTATTCATTTATATGACTTTATCGAAATTGACCGACCGCACATACTGAATTCATGGAACTGTTTTGGGCAGGCGCCTCGTGTGCTGTCGGTGAACTAAGACTTCCATATATTTCGAAAACCCCTGAACCGATCTGGCTGAAATTTTAATATGTTGGTCACCCAGATCGGGTCTATCAGGGGATGTGTCACCCACCGCTCAGGGGTGGGGGCCGGGGGGGAGCACAATAGGTGCCTCCCCCATCATTTTACTTTAGGGGCCACACCCGCCACTCAGGAGTGGGGCCACATATTGAATGTGCTGTGCAATTTTGGGCACCTGTTCTAAAGAAGGATATTATGGTACTAGAAAAAGTCCAGAGGCTGGCTACAAAATTAATAAAAGGAATGGAACACATCAGCTATGAAGAAAGGTTAACAAATTTAAACCTATTTAGTTTAGAAAAACGTTGCCTGAGAGAGGATATGATAACATTATACAAATATATTCGAGGCCAATACAAACCATTGTGTGGAAATCTATTCACAAACCGGACTTTACATAGGACCTGAGGTCATGCGTTTAGACTGGAAGAAAGAAGATTTTGTCTAAGGCAAAGGAAAGGGTTTTTTTTACTGTAATAACAATAAGGATATGGAATTCTCTGCCTGAAGAAGTGGTTTTATCAGAGTCCATACAGATGTTCAAACAGCTACTAGATGCATACTTGCAAAAACAGAATATACAAGGATATAATCTTTCAATGTAGGGTAATAACTGCTTGATCCAAGGATAAATCTGACTGCCATTCTGGGGTCAAGAAGGAATTTCTTTCCTAGCTTGTTGCAAAATTGGAAGTGATTCAAACTGTTTTTTGCCTTCTTTTGGATCAACAGCAAAAAACAAATATGAGGGAGGCTGAACTTGATGGACACTAGTCTCTTTTCAGCTTTGTAACTATGTAACCATGTAACCAATTGAGCTACTTTTTGCCTTATTTTAATAGAATTTTTTTTTTACTTATTCCTACTCTTTTTAAAAGTTAAAAGAGAAATAATACTACTGTGGAAGGTAAATCTATACATTTTTATATGTCTACATATTTGTATACTTCTTAACAGCTAACTTTAGTGACAAAAAAAAAAAGATTACATATAGATATATATATAAAACCAATCTTTTTAAAACGTATCCATAATTGAACAAATTATGCACTAAAGAGAAGAGAACAAGTCTTCAATGATTTGGTTAATTTTGACTAGAAAAATGCCCTACAGTGGTATTTATGAATTATTTACATCCTCTTGCTTTTTTTCATCATCAGCCAAGCCTCACAGAAAAGGTACACACAGAGGTGGACCTAGAACACTCGGCACTGGGAAAAACTGCATGTTGGCAACCCCCACCCCAATTATAATCTGTGTATTGTATTCACCAATGTATCTCTTGACCATTCTTGTGTTTTTCTCCTTATCCCTCTTATCCCATTGCACATCACTTAACCACCTTTGTGTCCATTGCCCTCCGTTTTGTGCCTCTTGCCTCTTTTCCTGCCTATTTTGTGTCTCGTGCCTCTCATTTTGCCTCTTTTGTGTCCCCCTGTTCCTCTGTCTTATCCTCCTGTACCACTTACCCCTGTTCCTGTGTCTTTCCCCCCCCCATTCCTGTGTTTTATCCTCTCTATTCCATTTATCACCCCTGTTTCTGTGTCTTATCCCGCCTGTTCCTCTTACCCCTGTTCCTGTGTCTTTCCCCCCCAGTCCTGTGTCTTATCCCCCTGTTCCTCTTATCACCCTAGTCCCTGTGTTTTATCCCTCCTGTTCCTCTTATCCCCCTGTTCATGTGTTTTTTATTTTCCGTTTTCCTCTTATCATACATGGTTCCTCAATTCCCCTCTATTCCTGTGTATTATTCCTGCTATTCCCCTTACCCCATTTTGCTGTGTTTTATCCCCACTGTTCCTCTTTTCACCCCAGTTCCTGTTTTTATCCCCCGTTTCTGTCTTATCCCCCATTCCTCTGACCCCTGTTCCTGTGTATTTTCACCCCTATTCCTGTCTTATCCTCCCTATTCCTTTTATCATCCTGTTCCTCTTACCCCTGTTCCTATGTCTTATCCCCTCTACTCCTGTGTCTTATACCCCTGTTCCTCTTATCACCCCACTTCCTGTGTTTTATCCCTCCTGTTCCTCTTATCCCCCTATTTATTTGTTTTATCTGCCGTGTTCCTCTTATCCCCCCGTTTTACTTCCCTGTTCCTAAATTCCCCTCTATTCCTGTGTATTATCCCTGCTGTTCCTCTTATCCCCTCCCCCGTGTTTTTATCCCCACTGTTCCTCTTATCACACCAGTTCCTGTGTCTTATTACCCCTGTTCTTCTTATCCCCCCATTCCAATGTCTTACTTCCATGTTCCTGTGACTTACTCTCCTGTTCCTCTTACCCCTGTTCTTTTGTGTTGCCCCCCCATTGTGCTTACCCGTTACTGTGTCTTATCACCCCAGTTCCTCTTATCCCCCCTGTTCCAGTGTCTTACTTCCCTGTACCTATGACTTACTCTCCTGCTCCTCTTACCCCTGTTCTTTTGTGTTTCCCCCCTGTTGTGCTTACCCCTGTTCCTGTGTCTTATACCCCCTGTTCATCTTACCTCTTTTCCTGTGTCTTATCCCCCCAAGTTCCTTTTACCCCAGTTCCTATGTCTTATGCACTTTATCCCATCCTGTTCCTGTGTCTCCCCCACCACCGCCCCCGCTCCCCACTCTTCCCTTACTGTGTCTTCTCCCTCTTGTTCCTAGGTTAACTCTGTGTGGGAGTGGAGCTGTGTTTTGTGTAGGTGCAGAGTGGTTGTAAGTGTTGTAGGTGTCTGCGTGTGATGTATGTGGCTGTGAGTGATGTGTGTGTTTTGGCTGTAGCTGTGTGTATAGCTGTGAGCGATGTGTGAGTGATATGCACAATAATGCAGTAGAGAGGAAAATCTCACTTGACAACAAAATGTTTTAAAAAAGGAAGCAGGTGGAAGTAATATGGGAAGGGATGGGTGGAGGTGACAGGAGTATAGGGAAGGGATGGATGAGAGAACTATGATAAAAGGAAGAGATCTGCAGTAGTGACTGGAGAATGCTGTAAGAGGGTGTGATATTGGGGTGTGAGAGAGTAAGGTGTAGGTGGGAGTGATAGAAGTGCAGGTAGAGAAGGAGGGATGGGGAGTCAGGGAGGAATAGGTGGAAGTGATGGGGATAGATGGACGTGATTGGTAGTGAAGGATGATAAGCAGGAGCGATGAGGGGGATGGAGGGTGATTGGCTGAGAGTGAGGATGATGTGAGAGGAAGAGCAGAGAAGTATTTGTGACAGGGTGGTGCAATAGGAGGGGATGAAGCCAGAGGTCCACATAAAAAAAGATTTAGAACTGTGGAGCTCTGTGCATTGTTTTAATATACATTATCACAGATCTAATTAAAAACTATGCTGTCTGTCACTGGTGGTGTAGCAGTAGATGGACTATAATCAGACCCGCAAATGCTAGAATAAGGCCCCCTCCTAGAGCCATGGGCTCTGTTTCTGTGAGTGATGTGTGTGTGTGTGTGTGAGAACTTGTGTAGTGGCTGAGTGTTGTGTGTGGAGGAGGATGAGAGCTGTTTGGGGGGTGGGAGGTGGGGGGTGAGTGTGTCTAGCATTATGTAAAGGTGCATGTGCCTGAGAGTGTATGCAATTCTGACTGAATGCATCTGTCTCTGGCATTGTGTACCAGTGTATGTGCCTGAGAATCTTTGCATGTGAATGTGTGTGCCTGTATCTGGGAATGCATGTGTGTGGTGTAATTGCTTGCATTCTGTGTACAGGGTGCTGTTTATGGTCTTTGTGTGTTGTGGTTATGGTGAGTATGTGTTGCATATCGTGAGTGTGTATGATGATGACTATCTTCACGGGGTGACTGTAATAGGGTGAGTAGGTGGGTGAGTGTGGCAGGGTGAGGGGGTGAAAGTGACAGCTTTTGGGGTATGTGTAAGAGGGGTAGGTTAGTGTGACAGAGTTAGAGGGGTGAGTGTGGCAGGGTGAGTGAGGGGGTGACAGTTTAAACTGTTAGCTGTTACACAGTTACATAGCTGAAAAAGGCATACATCCATTAAGTTCTGTCTCTCTCACATATGTTTTTGCGGTTGATCAAAAAGAAGGCAAAAAAACCCAGTCTGAAGCAACAAACAAGGGGAAAAAATATTTTTTAAGCCCAGAATGGCAGTAAGATATCTCCTTGGATCAAGAAGCTATTACCCCACTAATTAAAATTTATATCCCTGAATATTAAGTATTTATCCACTTTCTGTTTAAATATCTGTATAGATTCTGATAAAACCACGTCTTAGGGCAGATAATTCCATATCCTTATTGTTCTAACAGTAAAAACCCTTTACTTTGCCTTAGACTAAATCTCCTTTCTTCCAGTCTAAATGCACAAGCTCACATCCTATGTATAGATTTCTAGACAATGTTTTTTAATTAGCAACAAATATATTTGTAAAGGCTGCCATATTCCCTCTGAGGTGCCAAGAGATTTAAATATGTTAACATTTCTTCATAACTAAAATGCTCCATTTCTTTTATTAATTGTGTAACCTGCCTCTGCACTTTTTATTATAAAGAGGCACTAGTGATTTATAAAGAGGTCAAATTATATTTTCATCCCAAGAATTAATGCCCCTATTTATATGTGACAATACCTTACTGGCTTTAGCAACCGCCGATTGACATTGCACATTGTTGACTAGCTTGTTGTATATAACAATTTCCAAATCCTTTTTGGGCATTGTTATCCCTAATTTACTACTATTCAGTGTGTAAGCTGTTTGTGCATTCTTTACCCCAAAGTGCATAACTTTGTATTTTTCTACATAAAATTTAAACTGCCTTTTGAGTGCCCAGTCTCCTGATCTAAATCCCTCTGCAGCAAAGCAATATCCTGCTTACTTTATTATTATTATACTCTGTATTACATTACAGAGGGACACGACTTACCACTTTTGTCCAGCTTGAAAATTTACCATTATACATGCACAAAAGAGTAAATATAGTCTCTGAGTACATCATTAATGAAGTCTTGAAATACGGCCTTTACTTAAAGATTCCTTGATGTACTCATCCATAATTTTACTTTCTTGTGGGGATAAGGCATATACCGCTCCTTTAGGTGGCATAGCCCCAGGCAACAGATCAATGGAACAATCATAAGATCTGTGTGGAGGAAGAGCATTAGTCTGGCTTTTACTAAACGCCGCTCTAACATCCCAATACTGTATGGGAATTTCGGAAGTCGGAGACATAGCAGTGGGTAAAGCAACGATGCCCACTTTTTTAAAATGGGTAACATGCAGCTTTCCTGACAGTCTCTACCCCATTCCAGTATTTCCCCTCTAGTCCAGTCAATATGAGGGTTATGCTTGATGAGCCAAGGAAACCCTAATACGATGGGACAAGAAGGGGAAGCGATTATCTGGAAAGTAATGTCTTACTTATGCAAAGCTCCTCTCGTAATGCAAATTGGCAAGGACTCATGGGTAATAAGAGGTTTAGATAGGGGTCTCCCATCAATAGCCTCAACTGCTAGAGGTGATGATCTCTCCTTGACTGGTATGGTGTGTTTGTTTGTTTTTCAATTTGACAATTTTTATTTTGTCTTAAAACAGATAGGGATACAGAAAAGAAAAGGGGGTTAGGGGAGAAAACATTGTGCTGGCATTACATGTTACAAAATTACATTGTTTCCATATGTACCTTATATAACCACCTGGGTCGAATACAGCTACCTGCCGCAGTATACCCTGGCCCAAGTTAGTGTGTTCTGTCTGCATTGTCCCTGTGTGGGGTATTTATTGTGGGACACTTTCATGCGTGTTTTGAAGTGTAGGCAAAGCAGCACAGGAGGAAACATCTCTAGGTGATGACTCATGAGCGAGGGAGGGGGTAAGGAGAGGTGGGGCGTGTTAGCATCCTTTATGCTAGTCATTGTGGATACTTCAAATCCACTAATGTTCATGTGGCTTTAGTATTTTAAGTGTCTGTGGTTCCCCTTTTCGCGTAGACATGTTACACTGTGTCTCGCTTGTAGTAGTGCGATTATGGATCTACCTGATCCCTTTGTCGCATTTGAGGTATGTGTGTCCTGCTTGTTAGATGTATCCTTATGTTGGGTGTTTTAGCTCCCAATCCTCCCAAACCTCATGTTTCCAGCTATTGCCAGGTGGCACCTGTGAAATGTTAGATTCGTATTTCCCAACTTGAGATACATATCTAATTATTTCTTGTGTTGAAGCATTAGTTGGCGATAGCCAGTTTTTTGCTATAAGTTGTTGAGCTGCCACCAGTATATGAAATATTAAATATTTTACTGGTTTAGGGTAGGTGGAGCCAAACATGAATAGGAGTAGAGAGGACAGGGTATTTAGTATTGTGACAGATGTGTGTTGGTGTATTAGTGAGATGACCTCATTCCAGTATGGTTGGAGTTTCGAACATTTCCACCAGATATGGAGAAATGAGCCTGTTTCTTTTTTGCACCTACAGTAAGTGCTGGATAGTGTTGGGTCTATTGTGGCTGCGTGGGGACCATGTACCAGCGATAAAAGATCTTATGGGTTATTTCTAGGTGGGAGGCGCACAATGTTTAACCCTTTGTTATGTTTACTGAGGCTAACCAGGTTTTCTCTGGTAGTGTCTGGTTTAGGTCTTTTTCCCAGATGAGTACACAGGGGAGGGTTCTAATTTCACGTCTGGGCATCAACAAAGTGTATATGATGGATATAGGTCTTTTTACCAGTTTTTCTGCCGTAATGAATTTCTCAAATTCTGTCAGTGTTATGCTAGCATGAGATTTAAAGTTCGGTAAGTTCGTTTTCCACCAGGATGATAATTGGAGGTAGGAGTGATACAGGAGTATTCAGGAGGGTATGGCTTTCTTTTAGTTGGTCAAACGTGGCTAGTTTCCCTTTGTTTAGGAGGTTATGTACATGAAGCACCCCGCATCTGTTCTAGACCCTATAATTTAAATCAGTTATCACCTGTGCTAAAGCTTTAATGGGGGTTGAGAGGGGGGTCGGGTGGCAGCTACACAAGAGTTTGCGCGAGACGTCCCAAATTTTTAACGTTGCCAGGGTGGCTGGGAGTGCTTGGGTGGTGTTGCCCCTATGGTGTGGGGGTAACCACATTATTGTTTTAATGTCTTGGTTTTGCAACCAGTGCTGTTCTATGGATACCCATTGTGGGCAATTAGCTTGTTGGGTGACGGGGAAGAGGATGGCCAATACTGCTGCTCTATGATATAATTGCCCATTGGGTAGGCCCCTTCCTCCTGTATTTTTAGGTTGATATAATGTGGATATGGCTACCCTGGGCCTTTTTGGTATGGTGTGTTTTTTAACAAAATACAAATCAATAAAGTTACCAGCCGCACCTGAGTCAACCAGGGCTTTGCATTAAAAGTGCTTGTTGCAAAATGCGGAAATATTAAGGCAAAATATGCTTTGGGAATTACTAGAGGACGTATCCATTACACCCAAGACCTGTCCCCTTAAGGTTCTCAGGTGCGGAAGTTTTCTGGACGTATAGGACAAGCATCTCTCATATGCCCTTTCTTGACACAATATAAGCACAGACCCTCTCTTCTCCTATACTGTTTCTCTGCCTCAGACAGTCCTGTAACCCCTAACTGCATAGGTTCAGGTTCAGACAGCGATGAGAGGTCAGGGACAATAGGTTTGGAAAATCGAGGTGCTAGTGACATAGTCAAACGTCTAGTTCTGTTTCTAGTAATTTCCCTGGTCCTGTGTCTATTATCGATCTGCATCACATAGGTAATAAATTCATTTAACCCCTTAGGTAGGTCTTTGGCAGCAATTTCGTCAAGCATAACTTCGGATAATCCTTTTTTAAAAGCAGCGATTAATCCGTTGTTAGTCCAGTCTACCTCAGATGACAAGGTATGAAATATTTGAATATCTGATATGCATTAGGGCAGTGGAGGCGTCTTCCTCTCTTCCTAATGGTTCAAACGCCAGTTTGAATTCTGCCAGGAATTCCTGGTAACAATGAGCCATACACCTATTTCTTTCCCACAATGGATTAGCCCAGGTTAAGGCCTTACCTTTAAAGGGACACTCCAGGCACCCAGACCACTTCTGCCCATTGGAGTGGTCTGGGTGCCAACTCCCACTACTCCTAACCCTGCAAGTGTAATTATTGCAGTTTTTTTTATAAACTGCAATAATTACCTTGCAGGGTTAACTCCACCTCTAGTGGCTGTCTACTAGACAGCCACTAGAGGGCACTTCCTGGTTTCTAGCCTGATTGCTAGATCGTCGCTGGATGTCCTCACGCTGTGTGAGGACCTCCAGCGTCGCTCATTTCCCCATAGGAAAGCATTGAAATGCATTTTCAATGCTTTCCTATGGGGAGCGCTAATGCGCATGCGCATTAGGTCTCCCTGGCCGGTGGGCCGATCAGTCCCGCCCACTGGCCGACGCAGAGGGAGGAGCGGCGCGGAGGGAGAAGCAGCGACGTGGGACATAGTCGCTGCCTCAGGTAAGTCACTGAAGGGGTTTTCACCCCTTCAGCAACCAGGGATTGGGGGGGTGGGAGGGAGAGGGGACCTGCAGTGCCAGGAAAACCGATTGTTTTCCTGGCACTGGAGTTTCCCTTTAAGTTGGTTCATCAGATACCCAATCTTAGCTCTATCTGAAGGAAATTAACCAGGAGGCCTCAAAGTGGTACTCTATCTGATTGAGAAAACCCCTACATTCCTGGATATTACCAGAAAAATGCAGGGGAGGAGATAAGGAGATTGTAGGTGCATTATATACTACAGGTGGAGGTACATTAGGCGGTGGTGACATAACTGGAGAAGCCTCAGGTTGTAAATGAGCCGTTCTAGTAAGGAGCGTGCTAAAAGCCTGGGCTAGTTGATCCATATGGTGATCATTCTCCTCTAGCTCACTCTCACAAGCTGCTATGTGCTGACAAAATTCTGCAGGATCTATGGCCATGTCGTAATGTCAGGATTACAAGCTCATCCAGCACGCAGTACTGTGTCACACCTAGGACTAAGGATAACGTATAACGACCTTAGAATGGCCGGACTTAACGTCTCCAAGAACAGCCAAAATACTTGCCAAGGTCAGGGACACAGAATCAGACACAAGGATAAGGGAAAACCAAAAGTCAAGGATACCAGACATTAGGGAAGTCAAAACAAAGCCAAAGTCAAATACCAGAAAATCAAGATCAGGAACGCACTCTGGGATAACCATAGGCATGAAACCGGCCTTTGACCCCAAAGGCAATTACCAGGTGTGCATGATTGATGCTCAGCTAAACCCTCCTGTGCATTTGATTGGTCATGACCTGCCTTTGACCCCAAAAGTAATTACCAGGTTTACATGTGCATGATTGCTGCTTGGCACAACTTTTCCTCTCAGGACGGTAATGTTGATCGGCACAACTTTTCCTGTCAGGACAGTAAATGCCATTAACCACATTTTTATGTGCGGATGAATACGTGACAATTATTAAAGGGACTCTCCAGTGCCACGAAAACAAACCGTTTTCCTGGAACTGCAGGTCCCCTCTCCCTCCCACCCCTAATCCCAGGTTGCTGAAGGGGTTAAAACTCCTCCTATTGCTCATGTGCGGCCGGCGACGGAGGAGACCTAATGTGCATGGGCATTAGACCTCCCCGTAGGAAAGCATTAAAAATGCTTTCAATGCTTTCCTACGGTGATTTCAGCGACACTGGAGGTCCTCACATAGCGTGAGGACATCCAGCGACGCTATAGCACAGAAAATCTGTGCTATAAACCCGGAAGTGCCCTCTAGTGGCTGTCTGGTAGACAGCCACTAGAGGTGGTGTTAACACTGCAATGTAATTATTGCAGTTTATGAAAACTGCCCCCCAGGAGAAGAGGCTGGCCACAGTGGCATACATACCGGGTCGCAGGCCGGCCGGGCCCCCTGGTGGGCCGGGCCCGGTCGCAGCCGCGACCCCAGTATGTACGCCACTGCCTCTTACAGTGGACCCAGGAGGTGGTCCCCCGAGCCAGGCCCTGGTGTCACCAGGCTGGCGGGCGCTCGAGGGAGCACTCTCCTCTGTGCGCTCACTCTTAGCTCCCTTGCGCGCCGCGTACTGATGCCGGAGCCGGAAGATTAAGTCATCTTCCGGCTCCGGTATCCGTGCGGTGCGCTAGGGAGCAGAAGAGGGAGTGCACAGAGGAGAGTGCTCCCTCACTCGCCCGCCAGCCTGGTGACACCAGGGCCAGCCTTGGTGACCGGCTCCTGGGCCCCCCAGGAGAAGAGGCTGGCCACAGTGGCCGGGCCCGGTCGCAGTTGCGACCCCGGTATGTACGCCACTGCCTCTTACAGTGGACCCAGGAGGTGGCCATTTGGCCACTTTAGGGCACCCCCAAATCAGCGTTTATCCAGTGAGGCAGAGTAGGCTCCTGCTTACCTGGATGGCAGGTGCCTACACTGCCGATAAATACCGGAAGGGGGTGGCGGCAAGGGAGGCTGATCTTGCAGTTCCTCTCTCCTCCCTTGTGCGGCCACTGTGATGCTGGAACTGGAATATGATGTCATTCCGGCCCAGGCATACTAAACAGTGCATGGGAAGAGTGAGGAACTGCCAGATTATAGCACAGACCCACACTGGACCCCAGGGAAAGGACCCACACCAGCTTCCAAAAAGTATTGAGGCTAGAAGGGCATCAAAAAATTTAAATTAATTTGTGAGAGTGTGCAAGAATGTGTGTGTGTGAGTGTGTTTTTCTGTCAGTGAGTGTGTGCGTGCCTGTCTGTCAGTGAGTGTGTGCGTGCCTGTCTGTCAGTGAGTGTGTACCTGTCTGTCTGTCAATGAGTGTGTACCTGTCTGTCTGTCAGTGAGTATGTACCTGTCTGTCAGTGTGACAATGTGTGTGTGCCTGTCTGTCAGTGTGACTGTGTGTGTGTGTGTGTGTGCCTGTCTGTCAGTGTGACTGCGTGTGTGTGTGTCTGTCTGTCAGTGTGTGTGTGTCTGTCTGTCTGTCAGTAAGTGTGTGTGTCTATCTGTGTGAGTGTGTGTGTCTGTGTGTATGTGTGTCTGTCTGTGTGTGTGTATGTCTGTCTGTGTGTTTGTCAGTGTGTGTGTCAGTGTGTATGTTTGTCAGTGTGAGTGTGTGTGTCTGTCACAAATGTGGGGGTGGAAGAGACACATGGAGGGGATGGGTGGGAAAGATACATGGAGGGGCTGGGGGTGGGTAAGAAACATGGAGGGGTTGATAGTGGAAGAGATACTTGGGGGGTTGAGACACATGAAGGGACGGGGAGAATGAGACATGTGGAGGGACTAAGGGGAAGAATAAGACACATGGATAGGGATGGCAAAGGCAGATAAGGCATGTGGAGTGTCTGGCAGGAGGAAGGGAGAGAATGAGACACGGGGAGTTGCTGGGGGGAGGATGAGACACAGGTCGGGGCCCCAGTTCCTTCTTATTACTCCCATGCACTAGTTTTCCCTTTTTAAAATATTAATGGGCTACTGTAGGCCCTATAACCATTTCACTGAATTAGTTAGAGTGCTGGGCGCTGTCCCTCCACTCAGTGTTAAATCATTTTAAGACTGAATAAGTGTCTCTGGCATCCCGTAGTCTAGCCCGTACTGGAGGTGTGACTAAAACAGATATTACATACTTCCTTCTAGTTAGCCAAATCTGAATGGACACTGAATTGTCAGTTGACACCCTCAGCCAATCACAGTCACCCATTGCAACCCATGCTTCTCATTAGACAGAGCAGCACAGAGGGAATAACTCTTGTATAGCACTAAAACAGTTTAATACTGAATAGAAGTATGACGCATGGGGACTCCAGACACTATAATCACTTCAATGAGATGAAGCAGTTATAGTTACGACAGTGTCCGTTTTATCCCAATCCCCTTCCTATAATTTGTTTGCCAATACTTCATAAAATGGACTAATGTGAATTTCTGGCAAATATCTACAAGTGAAAGATGCAGAATGAACCTTCTACTCGTAGGTGTCCGGTGTAAAATGACAAAATAAACTACACACATCAGGGTGGGTTTGCTTCTCAATATATGAAAGCAAGAGGATATTCAGTAGTAGATAGTGAAGTACGTAAAAAATACAGTAAGGTGTGGGTTAATAAAATGATATGCCTTCACACTTTATAGGAGCTTAGGTGCAGCTCCAACTTAAACGCTTGGGCGGAATAATTCCCGTCTGAGGATATGGTACAGTCTCTATAGGAGGTTCTTATGGATGCAGCTTTTCTTGCAGATATGTAGGAGAAATAAGAGATATATAGTGCAATATACCAGACTCAATATTAAAATATATAGCTATAAAGGGTGTGCACTCACCTGTTCTGGAGCCTAGAGAGTGGCTCCAGAGGTATGGCATGAAGTGGTATGATCCCCAGTTTAGGATATAGGTGCTGGTGGTCTCTCTCTCTCTGATTATATAAGTAAAAGAGAAAATAAAACCACAATAGTAAAGACTGTATAAAGTGAGGAATAAAATGAAATAGATAAAGACTAGTCACATTTGAGAGAGTAAATAGGGATTGCTCTGCCCAACAGGCTTAGGTGGTATTATCCCCACCAAGGATATGGAGTACAGGAATCCATCAGCAAACAGATACATAAAAAAGTAATAAAAATAGGATAAAAGAAAGAGATATTGCTTCTCAATATGCCCGAATAAGCCATCTTTGTACAGATAAATTATTTGCATACCTAATAATGTTTATTCGGTCAAGGATTCCTTTTTCAATAGAAAGAGTGCTTTAGAAGTTGAGTGCTATTTTGTCACTTTGTCCATACTAAATAAAGCTATTTTTCACACCTGTCATTGGTTTTAATTTAATTTAATTCAAATGTGTTGATGATTCCAAATAATATTAATCTGCTTTTCTGCTCATAATCATAAGGCAGCTGTAAGCTCTGCTGCAACGCTTGCGTTTGGGTTTAAATACCCTAAATTTCCTTAATAATCATTGCTAATTGCACAGTCACGGTATACTTTCTACCTGTCCTCCAGACACTAGGTATCATTGTGTATCACATGTGAAAATTCTGGATTTTGGCAGGGGTACAGAGCTAAAAATAGTGGAAGTCAAAGATACAGGAGGCAGTGGCGGAACTATCAGGGTCACAATGGTTGCTATTGGGACCAGGCATTGGAGTTTCCTCTGTAAAGTGGAGGTAATTGATTCTGCAATATATTAAAGTGGCACTGTCACACTGTACTTACCTTTTCCCACTTGCTTTATCGTCTCTGTCTACTTTCTTTCTTTTTTTAATTTTTAATGTATTTCTATATAAAGATATAGGTAAAAATAGGGGCTGCATATGTTTTTTTCCTACGAAGAGCAACTGTGATCTAGAAGTGTATATTACCGAGCCATCACCAGTGGGATCTTCCATATACCTCAATGCTGTACCCTCGCGCATTGCTGAATAGGACCCGCTGGAAGGAGATAGCGGCGTTCATGAGGGACAGGTTCAGGTAAGTAGAATTCACCTTTCCCTGCCCTAAATCAGATAAAGTCCTGCTAGCAAGTCTCTTAACAATAAAACTACAGAACAACATGTAAAGACATGATACCTAAAGTGAAAGTAGCAATCTGCTTTTGTCTTTGGAGGTTGCCAGAGTCCAGCAGAATTACAGGCAGGGAATACTGGACTGAAACACACGAAGAGATAAAAACACAGAAGAAAGATGACTTAGCAAACCGTAAAAGTGGAATCAAGGTAAATTGACCGCAGCATTGTTTGAGACAGCAGACAGTGGGGATTAGGCAGTTATTCTACTAAGGATCTGGTATACAACTATAATGAAGTACAACAAAAGGAGCATAACTGAAGACAAAAACTCAGTGAGTCACATGGAAAAAAAGATAGGGATAAAATAAAGGATGACAGTAAATGCATCTGAGGAGGATAATTAACACTAAAATCCACAGAAAATCTTGTCAAACATAAGTTTGGGCGATATAAAGAAGAAAACATAATGGAGGAGATTTATCAAAGTTCTAAAAAGGGGTGCAAAGATGTAAAATGGGAGGTGTCACCAATGGAAAGTACCTTCCTGTTTAACTGTTTTCCATAGTTATTGCCAGAAATTAAAGGGACACTATAGGCACCCAGACCACTTCAGCTCATTGAAATGGCCTGGGTACAGTGTCCCTATTGCCCTTAGTCCTGCAATGTAAAACATTGCAGTTTTTAGAGAAACTGCAATGTTTACATTACAGTAGTAACACAGCCCCTAGTGACTGTCTACCAGATAGCTACTAGAGGCGCTTCTGAGATTTTAACGTACTTTAGGTCGCCTAACTGAGGCTGGATGTCCTCACGCTCTGCAAGAGGACAATCAGCATCAGTGAAATCCCCATAAGAAATCTTTGATTCAAAGCTTTCCTATGGGGAGGACCTAATGCACTGGCGTTGCTCACAGTGCATGCGCATTAGCCCTCCACAGGGCATCACAGGAATGAAAATGTACAGCATCGATAAAATTAAGCTTATATTTATTGGTACCTCCAGCAAAATCAGTGTCAAACCATTAAAAAAACATGCTGTACAGCAGATATTAATCCACACAAACGTTTAGTAGAAAGCAGGGGGAGGCAACTGACATGGATTGTTAAAAATGTTAGAAAAACTTTATTATAGCTTTATGGCTTCAAAAAATGATGTGTGATTTTGTCTTGCTTATGTTCAATTAGTGTGTGTATGTTGTTTTTGTCAAGGGCAAGATGTGTATTTGCAACAGCTAGATCGCATGTACAGATAACAGCGGATATTGAGGTGATTAGTCCACCTAAATGTATAAATAAAGATGGTTTGGAGGTTCTGAATAAATTTCCCTGAATAATATATTGAAAAGTTGGTCAGCTTATGGGGTCTATATAATTGTGGCCCCTGGGCAACGGCCCAGTGTGCCAATGCGTTAAGACAGTCCTGCCTCCCTACTATAGCTCTTGCCTCTGTAAGTGTTGCAGTGTTAGAAACGTTAACCCCTTAATGACCAAACTTCTGGAATAAAAGGGAATCATGACATGTTACACATGTCATGTGTCCTTAAGGGGTTAAAGGTGAGTATTATTTATTTTATTTTTTTATATTTTTTTTTTTGGGGTATGATCTCTAAGCATCTGAATTGATGTATGTACTATTTGTTGCACTCTATATACATTACCTACACACTATCATTCTTTTATTTGGTACTGCTGAAGCGGTGAAAAATCCAGTGGAACATTGAGTAGCAAAGTACTAAAGTATTTCTATTAAATTTGGAGAATGTAGAATTCTTGCCACGATGCATGATTTCTGTGTGCTGGTGACGGCATCAACGGGAGCACATAGCAGGTAAGCATATGGATGCACTCACCAAACCACTGTGAGTTGGTAATCCCTGTGGTCCTGTAGGGAAAGTCAATAAACACTGAGAGCCAAGTGTTATATACCAGCAACATAAACCTATTTGTAAGTTTATTCATAAAGTAGAATCTCTTGAGGAACAAGGACAGATGGTTATAGTTGTAATTTATGGATGTGGGTTAATTTTCTATTGAGGACACTACTCTCATTGATTTCCTTTCTGAAACCATGCCCCAGTGAACCTATGCTCTTGTCCCTTTATCTTAGAATGCCTATTTTAATAAAATGAATAAACTAGTGGTGGTGGTGAGTTGTGGATTGCTTATGTTCATTATTCGCTCATTGCACCATATACATATGTCCTGGTGTACTTTAGTTTTAAGTCCTGTCTCTAGAGCAGTCATTCCCAACATGGCCTTCAATGTGCACCAATTGTCTAACAATATCCCCATGCAAACAGAATGCCTAAATTCTTGATTGTTGTTGTGCATTGAAGACTAGCATCAGAGCTAGTTAGGTAATTATCCATTAGGGCACAGGCTCAGATAGGGGCCCAGGTGAACCTTGTCTGGGCCTAGAGCCCAGCTTCCTGAGCTGGCACGGAGATCAAAGATTTCCCTGCATGGCCTTGTGCTCCTTCACTTTGTTGAGGCAGTATTGTGGTCTGTACCACTTAAAGATTGCCCTTGTGGTCTCCCGGTGCTTCTCAGTGACTCAAAGCACCGCAGCCGTTGCTCTTAGTCATTGCCTAACAGCTGGAACTGTGAGGTTGCTCTTAAAGTGGTCTACACCTGATATTGGTACAGACAATGAAGCTTCCCCATGGGATCACCAAGGCTCCAGCTCACCCTCCACAGGTCCATCAGGCAAAGTAAGCATGAGGGAGGTAGGTGGAAGGGGGGCAAAACATACACACACAATACTCAGCCACAGTCAGACTCCCCCCAACACACACACACACACACACGAAGACAAATAATCACACATACAACACTCAACCAACAAACTCATCTCCCATTAAACTCTCAGCTTCTTACACACACACACCACTCTTACTACACACACTCTCACTACACACACTCTCACTACACACACTCTCACACACACAATAGTCACAAAAAAAAGTAACCACACCACTCACAGAAGATGAGCCCAGAACTCTTAGAGCTGGCTCAAACCAGGCACCCTGTCAAGGGCTCTTTGTAACCTTAATCCAGCTCTGCCTGGCATGGTCCTGCTTGAGATAGTATACCAAAATATTTTTTGCCTCCCTTAAGACATAATCAGCATTCCAACCTGGAAACTTAATAAACGGAATAGAGTCACTTAGAACCAAGGGCCAACCCTTTCATTACCCCCTATACCCAATTCCACCTTTCTGACGTGATAGCTATCACAAATGTTCTGAAACCTATATAGTTAAAGTGGTATATGCCATTTTCATTATAGTTGCCTACAGTACTTAATAACAAAATGTTAATACAAACAATGTGACCTGGTTTTAACATAAACTAATTTGTCATGCCTTCCTCCGACTATCTTGTAAGTTGAATATATTGGTCAAATTTAGGCACAATGTGGATTATTATTTATGAATTATTAACAAGTGCAATATCTCTCCATTTGCTGAATGTCAGAACAAGAGCTGGGAGAGAAATGAAGACATTGTCTACCAAAAGAGCAGAACATTTGGACAGTACAATGCTCGTGAATTATTGAGAGGCTATTTAAAGTGGAGAGTTTTGTCACTTGAGCAATAGCAGTCTACACTCATTTCACGCTGTCATTCGCACAATGCAACTGTCAATGAAAATCTGTACATACACATTGTGTAATGCTATCAAATTATTCAGTTTAAAAGATAATAAAATAATTAATAAAAAAATTACAATAATTATCGTACAAGTAGACAAGGGTTATGCAACCTTAAATACTTTACCTAGACTGAGAATTCTTTTAAAGATTTTTTCATTGAATTCTTTTAAATATACATACATACAGTATAATAATATTAAACATATTGATAATACATAAGATTAATAACAATGAGTCTATAAAATTATTAATAATATTAAAATAAAAAAATAATTAAAATAAAATGGGAGGAATAATAAAAAGAAATTAAACAATACAATAATTTTATATATACAATCATCCATAAAAAGTTGCATATTTTTAGTCATTTAATATATCCTATGTAAAAAATTAAAAAAAATTATTAAAATATTAACAGAAAATACCAAAAAATAATCCTAGGTCATATTCTAATTGCAGCAACATCCACCATAACCAGATATTGTAAAACTAGTGCCTTGTCAGACATTAAGGAGGTTTTATATTCCATTCTAGATAGTAAACAACATGAACTGATTTACTGCATGTATTCATAAAATAATGTTACATTAAGAAAAGAATGGAATGAATGGGGGGAAGTGAAGTGTCAGAAGTAAATATAATTTAACAATATGATACCCATCTGATCAAATTATGTAAAAAGACTTAGAATTATATGTAAAATTGTAAAAATCATAGTTCACAGCATCTTTTCTAGAGTGTCAGTGGTTTCCTATTCTGAGTACATTTCACACACATTACCTTTTAGGTTCGTTGAACCACAAGAATTATTATAGAAGAATAACTGCCACTAAACTATATATAGTGAGGGAAAAACAGTATTTGATCCCCTGCTGATTTTGAACGTTTGCCCACTGACAAAGTAATGATCAATCTATCATTTTAATGGTAGGTGTATTTTAACAGTGAGGAACAGAATAACCATAAAACAATCCAGAAAATTGCATGTTAAAAAAGTTAAAAATTGATTTGCATGTCAATGAGTGAAATAAGTATTTGACCCCTTTGACTTAGTATTTGGTGACAAAACCCTTGTTGGCAATCACAGAGGTCAGACATTTCTTGTAGTTGGCCACCAGGTTTGCACATATCTCAGGAGGGATTTTGTCACACTTTTCTTTGCAGATCCTCTCCAAGTCATTAAGGTTTTGAGGTTGACGTTTGGCAACTCGAACCTTCAGCTCCCTCCACAGATTTTCTATGGGATTGAGGTCTGAAGACTGGCTAGGCCACTCCAGGACTTAAATGTGTTTCTTCTTGAGCCACTCCTTTTTTTGCCTTGGCTGTGTGTTTTGGGTCATTGTCATTACCCATTTTCAATGCCCTGGCTGATGGAAGGAGGTTCTCACCCAAGATTTAATGATACATGGCCCTGTCCATCATTCCTAGTGATTGTGATTAATCGAAAATGTCAAAAGCATTGTCGAAAAATATCAAAAAGGATATCTCCACTGGCCACTCTTCAAATGACTACTAGATGTGCTTTCTGGGGCAGTGCTGCACACTGTGCAGTACTGCCATTCAGTGTCTCCTCCCTATGCATGGAGACACTGAATTTTCCTCATAGAGATGCATCGATGAGGAGATGCTGATTGACCAGGGCTGTGTTTGACTTGTTTTGGTTATGCCCATGATCTGCCTCAGCCAATCCTATTGGAAAGCATCGTGATTGGCTCAGAACAATACTTGATGATGTCAGCAAAGCAGGAAGATCAGGGAAGAGCCAGCAGCTGCAGACTTGAACAAAAGTAAGATTTTTTACTATATTTAGAGGGTTAAGAGGACCAGGAGGGCTAGATGGTGTTTTTAACACTGTATGGTCAGGAATACATGTTTGTTTTCTTGACCCTATACTGTTCCTTTTATATTTTGTATAATAGCTTGTTGATCTACGGAGATCTGATTGCCATTTCTGCCATTGACTTTTCCTGTTTTCTGGCACAACTGAAAATCACATGTGTTTTTCTCTCTCTCTTGTAGATTTACAGAAAAAAAACAGAAATATGCATATACGTAGCTATGTAACAGAGCCAGATAGTGTAACTAGTTTGTGTTTAGTGCTAGTAGCCATACTTCTGAAGTTATCTGGTTTACGTGTAATGCCAGTAGTTACATGGACTAGTTAACGGAGGACAATCTAATTTTTCAATGAATTTGTAAAGAACCTAGACGGGATAGAAAACTCTTGAATATCAGAAATAAAAATTTTACAAAGTTACGATTCCATAGAACTTGCATTCCTTGCTTTTATAGACGTGCAATCTTTATCATTAATAATTCCTTTTTTTCCTCTGATTACAAAATCTAGATCTATAAGAGTACTATTTATATGTCCCAAATTAGCTATATGATATGCATAGCAAATTTTGCAATGTTATTTGTTGAGAAGCCTGAGCCTAACCCAAGAGCAGCCATTTTGTTTTATTTTCCCGGGAACAGCTCCTCCAATCAAATATTCCAGTCTTTAACAGATCTGTTGTTTTAAATTTATATCACAAGTAAAACAAAAGTTCTGTATTGTGATGGTAGAACATTGGTGTGAGTTTATTGTTCCATGGTTTAATGATCCCTTGCAGAGAAGGGGTTACATCATAAGTGATTTGGGTTTGAGAAGTTGCACTGTCAGTAAATGGAAACAATACTGACACACCACAGCAATTTGAGAAGTGCTAATTACACTGATGTGGATTGTGTACTGCAGAGCACTTGGCTCAAAGGAAGGATGTGATGAAGGCATAAGGAACAGCACTACAGAGGGATACAGAGAGCTGAATCACCTAGGCACATCAATAATTCATAAAATGCCAGCAGCAACAAAGGGAAAGAGGGACCAGAACTAGAAGTACTGAATATCATAAAGCTTTTTAATAGTCTTTTTCTATTAGCATCAGACTTGTGACCGTTTTCACAGAAAGAGAGAGTAGAAGAGCCAAGTGGGAGAGTGATGGAACTTTTTACACAACTCCTGGAGAATAAAGCCACCATGACTGCCCCTGATGATCATTCCAAACATAGACGAAAGATAAACATTGAGGGAGACTTCCCTGGGAACAACTGTAAAGCTGAATAGGACTAAGTTTCTCTGTCAGATATGGGACATTGTTTCATTTGATGGCGACTCATTGTGACCTTAGAAGGCATCTAATCTCCCTTAGCATTAGGCATCAAAAGTTAAATCAAAGTTTGCAATGCATACATGGCTATATGTTTTTTTGTATTATATGCTTTCTTTATATGAAGTGATGTGTTTATGAAAACAAGCATTTAATAAGGTGTTAAAGCATGTATACATGCCATGGTTATCATTTTAATGCGACAGCAATAGTGCAAATAAGTTCACTTTCTATGTAAAAGTGCAGATTTAAAGAGATTTTTTTATAGTTACTTACTTAGGCTCTTGTTATCACTTTTTGTAATTCAATTATTCTCATCTTCATACTTCCAGGTCACTAACCATGACTTGAGAGGTGCTGTCTTCTAATTGGCTGTAAGGAAGATAAACCCAAAACTTGCTCACCTATGACTTTGTTAACTTTTTTTATTTTTTTAAACATTTAGTTAAATTGTTTTAACAGGACGTTCCCAGACAGGTAAGTATTAATATTGAGTATTTCAAAAAACGCAAGCTGCTGTTATCTTGTTATCTAGTGCTCTTTTTTTCTTTTATGTCTTTTATGCTTTTAGTTTCTGTTCTGTTCTTTGTCTCCCTTTTTTCTTTTTTAGTTTTTCACTGCATCAGTACACCTAATGGTTGGTGATTATGTATAAATTATAAGTGAATGAAAAATATCAATAAACCATTGAAACACCAACAGAACATTTATAATAGTTTTAATTTAATTTATCACAGTTGTTTTCGAAGATCATGTTAAATGACGGGACCATCATAGGATTCTTCAGGATTCCTTGTCATGTCTGGTGCGAAACCTTCCAAGACACATGTCCAGTGGGCTGCTTGTCCTGATTGCCTTCCTGATAAAGTCCACTTTATAGACCAGTCTCTATCGTCTCAAAATTGCCAGAACATTGTTGCTTATTGTAGCATTTTTGATGTTGTTAACATTATTTTCTCCCTAGAACCTGTGGTTTCCTTGTATCTTTGACCATAGACTACCCTTTCAAGTTAATTGGTATCCCGAGGCTAGGTATCCATTCCATCTGGAAGTGTTAAAAAGTAATATGGATGGAAACCTACAACCAAAACACTAGATCAAGTAGACAATGCAGTCATGTGTCCATGGTCCACTATTATTATGTGGCACACCCAATGCAAGGTCCTTTATCACAACCAAATGTGCAGAATTGGTTCGAAAGAAAAAGGTAGGAGAAGGGTGATTGGAAATGAAAAGAAAAACAAAAATACCCCACTTCTATTCTGACACTAATCTTGTAATATCTTTGGATATTGGAATGTTATTGTTGAGCAACACCACCACATGGAAACTAATTCAGAACCAGAAAAGAGTAAACAGAGAAATGTTTTATTAGTGTGTGTTTGTGTCAGGCAGCTGGAGCAAACAGATTTAGAAAGAAAGACTGGGGGAAAATACATCAAGGAGAAGTAGCTAAGCACAGACAGCCCAGACTAGAGCACACAAAATGACAGTGAAGTAGATATGTACAAATTGGGAAACAAGAAAAATACAAATTAAAAACTAGACAAAAATAGTGAATGGGAAAAAAACATATAACAACAAGTTGTGGATAAACAGATGCATAGTCAGCAGCAACCAAAATCTACTAATAAGAGTTGGTGGAGCAGTACCATTTGGCAACAGTAAAGGTAGGTGATATAGAGATTAAACAATACTCATCTGTTTAAAGGTTACATGTGAAGCCTCCTGCTAACCACTCAGATAAGTGTTGGCACCCCTGCTCTTAAAGTTGTACTCTTTGTTTATTATATCAAGGCATTTAACCTGGATAGGCACATTTACATTGTCACAAGTTTCTATAACTGTTCTATCGTCTCCATGTAATTATTACCCCATTAAATAGTACTCACTTTATTGAGCTTGTACATGATAAAAGGCTGAATTAACTTTTGTGGGAATTAAACTTGCAATATTAGAAATATTGTAACAAGAACCCTAACCCCTGAACTATTTACGGGACACAGAATGATGACATGGTACGTCCCGCCGGATACATCATCATACCCAGAAATCAGGTGTCCCGAATCTTACTGATATCAGGAGGTATTTATTCACCAACTTCGGAGAGACGAATTAGAACTGAAGAAGATTCCAGAGGCAGTTGAAACGCGTATGCTATTTCTATTGTGACTTTATGACTATAGATCATTTTATATTAAATTCTTTATGTTATTTGTTATATACATTTACTCTTGCTTAATCTGTCCCTTTTTTATGTGGCTCCAATAAAAGTTTTTTTACACTCGAGTTTTTCCTCTCCATCTTTCCACTTGGACCATATACCTTGAGATTGTACATTGCAGCCTGTATAAGCACCTTGGAACCCTTGATACAGAGCCTGATATGGCTCTTGACTGGGTGAGTTTTATTCCTCTGGTGTTTTATGTGTTTTGTACATGTATACAGAAAGCACCATGTATTATAGTTTTTATATCTTTTAGATGTTTCTGCCCTTTTCGAATTTCTACTATTGATCTAAGTATTTCTTGTGTGCATTCACTTAGGGTGTATTAGTTTGCTCTTTATTTAAGTTTATTTCATAAAATACTGTCAGTCACTTTCTTAAGCCACCTTTCAAAACAGCTAACAGGGGTTCCCTTTCTTTTTTTTTATACTGGTGTTTTGATTTATTTATTTACTCCCAAGTTGCACTCAGAATCTGGTTTAATATATGTAGCGTAACATTCTCTCTTCCATTAATCACATAATGGTTCAGAGCATTGATCAAACATCTGTTGGAAAAAAAGAAAGGAATGCGACCTTGAAGAATAGCACTTTCTGTATACATAACAGGAAAGAAAATAGTACAGAGGTATAAAGCAATGAATAAAACGACGCAATTTTTTCCTGTCTGCTGCATTTACTGTCTCCTGGCCTTTCAGAGAGCCAGTTGAAAGCTGCCAGGGTCCACAATAGAGCATTTGGGTTTGCACTAGCAGATGCTGTGACTGTTTCAGCCTCCAGGCCCTGCAGATCGCCTGGGGCACACATTTTAATTCAACATCAGACTTCAACCTGGAAAAAATAGATGACAAGATTTTACTGTCCCTGAAAATATACTCAGTTGATAAAGCTTCATATACATTTCCGCAGGTCAAATCATTTCTCTGAAAATGTGTTGTCTTTATCACAGTCTTCAGGACAAGTCTAAAAATTGTTTGTAATGATATTCTGTGACTCGACTAGAATAATTTGTAATAATACTGACACACATAGAAACATCGCCACAGTGCTTGGTTTGTGTTCACATTCCAGAAGTGACCTTGAAAGTACACTAAGGTGATGATGAAAAAGCCTCATTATGATATATCTTTTTAAGATCCACCGATTTGACAATAATCACAATGAGTAAATTTGATCCAGTGTGTCACCGTCCAACATAAGAAGAAAAGAGAATGAGGCACTTTAAATTACATCCATTACATTTTAATAAACACAAGCAATGATTCAGATGAAGCCTGAGAAAGTTGCTGTGTCAACTGAAACATTGCTTTGTGTCTCTATTAAATTCCACTGCAATTGTAATTTGTAGTGTCTGGTCATCTTTTCTTCTTTGATTTGTTATTTGGGCTTTAGCTACTCCAAGTCATTGTACATCTAATTCGTCGTCATCCTAGCATGTGCGAGTCTCATTCTGTGACCTGTAGAATTGAGAGTGTCCATCAGGGGTGGTTCTGAATCATCATTTAACTATGAAAGCAACTTAATCATTAAATACAGGTGTGTTTTATCAGTGCTTGCAATTAAATGCCTATAGGAGCACACTAGGCACCATCACTACGTCACTGGAATGAAGTTGTTGTGATGCCAAGAGGAGAGGTCCCAGACACAGGCTTACCTTTAAGGCTCATGAATGGTTAAACCCCAAAGTCTTCTCTCTATTGCCATTTAGCTTTGCCCCTGTCCTTCCGCTTCAGCATCACTGATTGTCTGAAACTCTAAGTTAATCAATAACTCCCCATTTATAAAATGTCATTAGATAAATATGTATATTTCTAACGTTACTTTGAGAATGGGAAGCTCCTGATTGACATGGAGCATCAGCGGATACTTTCAGCCAATCAGCGGCAGTCCGAGGCTTCCTATTTGAAGAGTCTAAGATAAGTGGAAGGGGCAAAGCTAAACAGAGATGGAGAGAAGACTTTGTGTGTTAAACTTTATACCTTTGTTTAAGTTTTTATGGTGCCTGGAGGTACCCTTTAAAGGAACGGTAATGGTTATGACACTGTAAGGGTTGTGGTGTCAGGCGTGTCTTGGAAGACCCTCCCCCTTCATTGTAAGGAGTCAAATCATTTTAGAACACTTTGACTTCTTACCTGGGGTCTGCTAGAAGCCATTCTCTGCTTCCATTACAGCTTAGTAAGAGCCAGAAGTTCTCTTGATGAAGAAGCTTAGCTCATTATCTGACAGCGATCAACTGAACCATTAAAACAATGTGCTAGCCCTGCACTGCAGAAGAGCTAACAGATGTTCCTGAGCAGGAGCTTCTGGCTCTCACTGAGTTGTTCACTCCTGGCACAATAATCGCTACAGCTCGCAGTACTATTATTGTGTTTCAAATGTTCCTTTAACAAAGGCAAATCTGGGAAGTTATGTTTGCAATTTCTAAGGAATAATTCTTACTGTAATTTGAGTATTTTAAAGTGAATTTTATGGTGACATAAATTAAGACTAGTATGTATATGTACTATGAAATATTAATTTATAAAAATTTGCAAGTGCAGCAAGACACAGGATTAGGAAACAGGAAAATGTTTGGAAACAACAGCATCATCTGAAAAATTCACATCCAAAATCTTCAAAAATAAATGAAGTACATGCTTTGGGCATTAATAAAGAGTATTATATTTTAAGTTTATCTTTGGTCCTCAAATATTCTTCTATATACCCCTTATGAGTCACCTTTCATCTGTTCCACCCGACAAGCTGTACATGCTACTGTGACAATATGCATTATGGTGAAAACGTGTCCGTGCTTAGCAGCCATTGCCTCTTTGTGACATTGTTTAACTGTTATTGGGGGACCCCTACCTATAACGGGGCACCTAAAATGATCCATGGAGGTATTAGGAGGCCACATATTATTAATAAATCATATGACAAGGTGCAATAGTACCAGAAACTTGGAGAAGTCCAAATAGATGATGAGGGAAGTAACATTTCTGGATGTTGAAGCCTACTAAGAGTCCAGGTGGGGCTTCATTTACTGCTTAGGAATGTACAGCATTTATATCAGAATCCCAACCATTAAAAAGGGGGATAATAAGATGGAGCAGGCAGTGTTGTCATGCTACCTCTTGTCCGGTCAGTCTACATGCACATATGGTATCTAAATAATTACATAGCTGGGCACAAGATAAAACAGAAATATAGAGAGTAGTACCACATTACACATGTGGTGGTTGTAAGCAAAACTCACTAGAAATATAAAATATATAATTTCTTCTTCCCATTTTCTTGTCTTAATACTGCGCCTCTTCTTTTTCCTTCTATTAGCTACTTTTCTCACTTGATCTTTAAACCAAATGGTGAGAAAATTATGTATATTTACAGCACCCTGATTGGCCCATTTTTGCTCTCTTTTCATTAATCCGATATATTTTGCGTAATCTTTTTCAGACAGTGAAATTCTGACTTACTGAACCAGCATATGCGCAAAATTTTCCACCATACAAAATTCTAGTCACCACCATCGTCCAACACCACTGGTCTAAAAAGTGTAGAAGAAGAGGCAAAGTCTATTGTCATGACCAGCAAGCATAATTCATTGTTGTACTACAGAAATATTGCTATTAAATGTGATGTGCATACTGTATACATGAATTTGTCACCTAGTAGAGGTGGTATGCCTGATTTCAGCATGAGAAGTATTCTTTTGGTTGTTTAGGTATGTGCTATTCCTAACCACAAGGAAATGTTTGCAAAGTGAATTCTTCATTTGAAGCCAGTTCCTAATGTGTCCCTCAGCCAGGTGTGAAATTTTACACCCAAAGTGTAGGTATGGCTTCTTTTTCCTAGACTGGATGACTAAACCTCATTTACCTTTGTTGCTTCATAGACCTTGGCTTCTTTTATCAGTCAGTAGACAATTCTCTGCAAAGAGATTAATAATCATGCCTCCTGTTGTATATATTCATAATGACAACAGCGTAAACTACAAAAGGAGTCTAAACATGCCTAGTGTAACTTAAGCCATTTGAAGGAACTGTGAAAGTAAGCTATATTACATCATAGATGTCTTATGGGGTCTTTTAAGATGTGTAAGAAAAGGATAAACTGTGACAATTCCACAGCTGTAAAAGTTATTTCTAAATCAAAAAGATAAAGATAAACATGTTTTTTAAGAAACTTATTTATAAAGATTGGTGTCTAAATCAACCAAAAAGTAGGGCCACGTGCAATAAACTTAGACTTCCTACAGTTAAAGGACCACTATAGGCACCCAGACCACTTCAGCTTAATGAAGTGGTCTGGGTGCCAGGTCCATCTAGAATTAACCCTTTCTGCTGTAAACATAGCAGTTTCAGAGAAACTGCTATGTTTACAAATGGGTTAATCCAGCCTCTAGTGGCTGTCTCATTCACAGCCGCTAAAGGCGCTTCTTCTTAGGTATGAAAAGAAATCATTCAGTCATAAAAACATTCAGAATGAAAAAAGCGGAAAAAATGCGGGATATCGCTGAATATCTAAAATATATAAAATGAACAAGACATAGTGCAACTCTGTGTAACAATATATACATTGGTAGTTGCTCTGATTGCACTCACAGACTTCAATTAAATTTTAGGCACTTCCTAAAATATCCATAGGTCCTTATCAGGATCAGGATCCCATTTGGATACTCATGTTCACAAACAGGAACCAGGATCCAGGTAGGTAGTAAACATTGTTTTTTTTTTATAAATACAAATAACAAATTAAAATACAAGATCTACGTGTTTCGTTCCTCTAAGGAAACTTCCTCAAGGACCAATATAGTTAAAATATTAAAATGCCAACAGAAATTTTTTTATCAGCCTTTAAAACATTCAGGCCAGTGGTTGGTGTTGAGAGTAATAGGATAATCCTGATAATCCTTAGAAACAGAAGTCAAGGAAATTAATTTAATAATCTGGTTAACAATTGGAGGCACAGTGGTGTAACTAACGCTGGTGCAACTGCACCAGGGCCAGCACGGTCAGGGGGCCCATGGGTATCTCTGAACAGGGTTCCGAACAGGCCTTTAAGAGTGCGACCTTTAAGAGTGCAACCGGGCTCATTTCAGATTGTGAGTTTAGGTCACTTCCTCCCAGCTACATGAACAGCCGCACAGGAGGGGAAGGTGGCTCAGGAGCACCAAAGCAGAGGGACCTCGATCCAGACTCACACTCCCATCAGACTCAGGAAGCAGCAGCATCCACCCTCCGGCACATAAAAGGTATGTTAACAAGAGGGTGGTTAAAAATGATGACATTTATGTACAT